TGAGAGAGGCATTTCCCAGATGGCAGGACTCTGCATTGCCAGATATCAAAGACCTTTTGTAAAGTAGTGTGGGAGGGAGGAAAGAGGGGGCATTACAGCTCTGCCTAATTCTGAACAGGAGAGTTGAAGTTGGGGCTCCCACACACTAGGCTAATGTGCTAACCATGAAGTTATAGATTCTAAGGGTAGGGGCAGACATTCAAAAAGCCTGAGCCTGAATTGATTCAATCTTTGCAGGTTAGTCTGACCCGGCTAGGCTGAACAGGTTTGTAAGTGGATAGACATTCTCTGTGTACTGAGGCAATTCAGGCACATGACTGCAGTGGCTCAGGATAGATGCGGGGGGGGAGGGGGCAGGTGCTAGAGAAGCCTTCTCTTCCCTTGAACAATGCTGAGCTGAGGGGTGGGTGTGGCCAGGCTCTGGGAGGTCCGCCTGCACAACCCCAGGCTTTGCCCCACTTGCTGCTCAAGGGGCAGGAGTGTTGGCAGACCCCTGCCCCCTGCTAGCACTCTGAGGCAAGGGAAGGGGGTGAGGGGGCGCAGTGCATGCATCTGTTGATGATGTGGAGCTCTTCAATCTCCCTCTCCCTGCTTCTTTATAGTGTCTGAAGCAAACTAACAGTTGAGCAAGTCAGCAGGGGGCTGATACCAGTGTTTATCACCTCATCAGCAAAACAATAGCCTCTCTCCATTAGTTCAAACTCTTCTTAAACAGCTTACCAGCTGACCTATTGCTTAATTTCAAAAGCCCTAAGTGGTCACTGTTCTGTCTACCTGTCCCAGTGAAATTGGAGACACAGACACCTCTTGGCATTAGCTAGCATACCACAGGCCTAGGGTCTGTGCTGTGGGAGATGGGAGGGAGGGGGCCAATGTTCCCTCTAAGAAGTAGTGGTCCGTGAGCGTGCCACTTCAGTCCGGCATGGGACACTTATTGAAGGGGGCTAGGGGCTGCAGCCAAGAGGCTGAGGCCAGGGGCCAGGTCCTGGAGCCGGGGGCTGGAGCGGGCTCCTCTGGCTCCAGGGAAGTGCTCCGCCCCCCCGCATCAGGGCTGGGGAGTGGAGCACTTCCCCGGAGCCGGCGGAGCCCGCGCCAGCCTCCATCCCTGCCTTGCCTCACCTTGGGGAGGAGCCGCTGCCTGCCCCGAGTGAGGCTCCGCTGGCTCCGGGACATGCCCCCCAAGGCCATGCGGGGGAGCAGAGCAGTGTCCCGGGAACCTGTGCCATAGCAGCAGCATGGGTCCTTTGAGTCTCTGGGGTCAGGTAAGACTCTCTGGTGCTGGGTACCCCACCCATCTATCTCTTCCCCAGCTCTCCAGTATCTCTGCATAGGGGTGACAAAATTGTTATTTATGCTTCTGGGGGTGGGGAGCGGGGTGCGTGCATAATGATACAACCTTCTGTCACGGGTAACAAATGCCCCGCGCTCCTCCCCCGGCTCATTCATTGCACAAGATGGAAAATGCTCATTTAATGAGCAACTATTCAATAGTTTTGTTTTATTTGCAACCTTCAACATGTAGCCCGTATCTTGTCTTCTGCATGCCATTCAAACCCTGCTCTATAGACAGAAGTCATAATTTCCTTGTGGCTTTTCCATGATACTTCTCCTTATAATATCAAAGTACTTCAGAAACACAAATTTATCTTCAGAAAACTTCTTTGAAGTGAGGAAATCATGTTATTCCTATTTTGCAGATTGGAAGCCGAGACGGACAGAGAGACCAATGACAAAGTTTTTACTAATTTTGTCTGTCCAGTTTGAGACACCATGTACTATGAAAAATTATTTTCCTAATATTGAGTAGCACTTGACATGTTCAAAGCACAGTTCTGACTGACTTCTGTTCCTGATGCAAGTGCTCAGCACTTCTGCAAAGTAGCACCCAGACAATGAGGAACACACAATTAGGGATAGACTGTGAAGAGTCTGGTTTAAGTGACTTTCCCAGCAACACACAGGAATCCATTACCAAGACCCTAGACACCCTTTTCACTGGCATCATTATATTTTACACCAAGAAGCTATGAAGAGCAATAGTACAGTGGATATAAAACAAGAGTTGTGCAAAGTGAACTTTTTTTAAAGAAACTCTTAGTTCTCTAGGAAAGGATTATATTTCCTAGACCAATGTAAAGGTTATGATGCATGTATCTACTTTACTTCTGCAGAATATATTGGACAACTTTTATAGATCATCTGATTCAGAAGCTGACTCCAGTATTGTAGCAGCAGCTGTGAAATAACTCTGTGGTATGTTTGCTGCATTAAACTGAACCTGGCAAGGAATATTCTGTGAAAAATGTTAGGGATCAGTACAGTCCTTTATAAGCCATGGGGCACACTTGTAGGAGAGGAAATGGTTACATTCTTGCATGTTGGGCACTGGAGTCTGTTGCCACATTCTTTAACACTTTTCCTAGGAATGATGGATTTTGATAGTTGCTTTCAACCAAGTACGCAGTCTAGATTTTCTACCAAACCATTGTTTAGTTAATAAAATAGGCAGTCTTACAATCCTTTCCCTAATTCTATCCCAGTGGTGTCAAACTCACCCCATGCCAAGGGCTGGATCTGGACCATGGGGCCCATCACAGGCTGGATCTACAGAGCAAGTGGCTGTGGAGGCAGAGGAGGGACCAGTGGTGAAGCCAGTGTCAGTGGAAGTGGTAGAACAAGTGGCTGAGGGCCAAGCCCCAGGACTTAAGATTCTGCAGCAGGCCCTGCCCCCTCCCAATAGCCTCACCCCCAAATTCCCTGGACCACCAATAGCCCCATGGTGCATATGTTTGACCTCTGCACTAAGATATCATTAGTCACGTAAGGTCTTATCCCATGGTTTTACTAATCATCTAACTCAGGGGTGGGCAAAATGTGGCCCGCAGGCCAGATTCATCCTGCCAAGGTATTTTTTTCTGGCCTACATCAAGTCCCTCAATCCCACCCAGCCCAGGCACAGGGGAGAGGTCCAGGCCATGGTGTGTGTGACTGGTCCTGCTGTCCCCAAGCATGCAGTGGGGCTGGGATGGTGCAGCAGACAGATTCACATTTTGGCATGCCAGCAGTGGTGGCTCCTTCTGGCAGCCACTGGTGCCACCACTGGACTCAGCCCCACTGCCCACGTACCCCGGTCCATCCACCCCACACCCACCACCGGGGCAGGACCCATGCAAGCACATGGCCAGGCAGATGGGATGGGGCCAAGGGCAGGCAGGGAGTGGTGTTGGGGAATGGGATGAGCAGGTGAGGCTGGAATCACAGGGCAGGATCTTGGAGTGGTGACAGGGTGGGGGCCAGGCACAGGAGAGAGCTGCAATCCACTGCCCACACACCTCTGCAGTAAGCATGGTTCCATGAGCAGGGGCATGTGGGGAGCAGATTGTGGCTCTGCCCCAGGCCCATGCTGTCACCGCCTCCAAGACCTAAGACCCAGCCTTGGGCACAGCTCCCTGCCTGCCCACAGCCCCATCCTGTCCGCCTGGCTGCATACCGTGCTTGTGTGAGTCCTGGCCAGTCTTCATGGAGATCCCAGGAGTGCTGGGGCCCAGGGCAAAGCTGGGATCTGCTCTCTGCATGCCCCTGCCTGCGGAACCCTTGCCCATTGCAGGGGTGTGAGGGCAGCGGATCATGGCTTGGCCCTGGTCCTGTGCTATCACCATCCCAACATCCCTCCTTGTAAACCAAGCCCTGCCCCCCCGCAATCCCAGCTGCCCAGCTGAGCACAGGGCAGAGCCACATGGGGAGTTTTGGTAAGGTTGTGCAGGATGGGGGCAGCGCTGACCCAGCCCACGACAGCTCACCACAACTCCCTGTGTACCCCACGGACTCAAATAATTGCCCACTCCAATCTAACTTAACTCTTAGCAATTTAAAACCAAATCAAAATCTTGATATTTTGAGTCTGCTGCAAGCATGTCAGGATTACTTTGTAACAATAACTTTACAAGTGGTTCAACAGTTTTATTTTTGTTTGTTGCTACTTATTTAGTTAGTTTATTCATGTATGCTATCATACATGCACTCAAAGGACATCAAGACAGAGGCTAGTCTTTTAGACCCACATTACATTGCTCTGGTTACAGGGGCAAAAAGCCCTTGTACATAATGATATAATGACAAGTGAGCTGTCTCAAGGCAGTAGCAGGGGTGGGTTTAGTGTTCAGATCTCCATATAGCCAATACACATTCTTAATCTATACTGCACCAACGTGCAACTGATCACTTATGCTTTTTAGGCATATTAAGGGACAAATTTTCCTAAAACAGTACAATGGTAAGAAAAGGCCTACACTAAAGCATGCATGTATCTGAGGTGGGTAACGGCTGTTTTATTTTTCACATTAATTCCTCCGTTCATCTTTATTTTGCTGGATGATTGCTTGAATGGCATGAGATGGGAGAGACATCACAACGAGCTGACAATGCTTTGCAGCTTTCCTAACCCGAGAACAAAGGAAAAAATACTAAAACATAGGAATCTTCTACCAACCTGCTTGTCACTCATACACTGGGTTAAGGTAGTACTGTAGATAATATTGCAACTGTATCCTGGCTTCAGCACAGTTTGAGAATGTGGTCCATACTCTGTGTAGAGCACACACTGAAACAGTATCTCTGTTGTAATCAGATCAAGGGACAGTCCTGATATAGTGTGGTCCCCTCAAAATAGTGTGTTGCTTAGTGTTACTTATTTCATGTAGATGGATCTCTAAATTCTGAAAGAATTAATATGACCAGGAAAACTACATCTCAATTTCAGCTTTTAAAAAAATGCAATTTCCTACCATAGTGACCTTCAGCATGAAGAAGGAAATTAGGCCCTAATATTTTAATATTAAAAAGATCAGTTTGCATTTATTTGCTGGGGAGAAGTGGCAACAACATTTGAAGCCATTAGCACATTGTAAATGAGTAAGAAAGGACACACACTTTTTTTTTCTTGATTTGTAGTTTAGGATTTCAAAGTAAATTCCCCAAATGCTTGTTTTCATCCACTACAGAAATATTGCCTTTCCTTGATGTCTGCCAAGGAGACACAGAATACAGACTGCATAACGAAGATGATTGCTTCAGAAATTCCAAGACTTGCAAGTATGCCAGGATTGCTCTTTGGACTTTCCTGCTTTTAAGTATGAGAGCAGGAATACTAGAAGACTTTGTTTTTCCCAGAATAATGTACTGCATATTGATTTCCCCAAGAATGGTGGGAATGAGAGTTGAAACGATTCCTGTGGTACTGTCTGCTCCCCTGACCAGGAGAAACTTTACCCTGACTGGAGAGGAAAGAAAAGTAACTCATTTACCAAGGAACTTGCACAGGACCTAGCCCTGTATGACAGGTGGTCCCCACAAGTGGCACAGGGCCCTGGGTGACAGCCCAAGTGGCCCAGAGCTGCCCAAAGTGTCACAGCCCTGCACCGAGCCAAGCCAGGCCTGTGCAATGTGGCACAGGCAGCCCCGGGTGTCCGGCATCCAGGGCTAACCCATGCTGCCCTGTGCTGTGTGAGATGGCTGTGCCCGGGGGGCCCAAGCACCCTGATAGCTACTGCTGCTGTGGGTGAGCTGTGGGCTGTGCGGGGGGTGGGGAGGCATGTGGGCTGTGTGGGGGAGCTGGGGCCATGCAGGGGGGCGGGCTGTGGCCCTGCGGGTGGCAGAAGTCCATGTGCTGGGTGGGGCAGCTGTGCCCTGTGGTGGGGCAGGAAACCCACCCCTCCTGAGCAGCCCCCCCACAATCCACCCACACACTCCATGCCTCCCACATCCCTCCACATCCTCCCCATTGTGGATGATGACTTGCTGGCAAGAGCTGTGGCTGCAGGGGTAGCTGTCCCCACATCCTGGTTAGTGAAGGGGTCGCAGGGAGCTCTAACTGTTCTATGATTAAAAAAACAAACCCAAAAGCAAGCATCAAAACATATAGATATTTAGAATTTATTTTATTACTAGCAAACTGCCTATCAAGAATGATCGATTGGGGGGGCGGTGAGCAGGGATGGAGTGCAGCCTCGCCTCCCACCCTTGTTTCTTGGAGGTGGCAGTTGGGGTGAGGGGCTTAGGATGCCATGGGGGTGGGGGGTGAGGCCACTGGCACTGGCCTTGGCCCACCCCTCCCCTCTTCTGTTGTCGCCACCTGCAGGGCTGACGTGGTGGTGGTGGGGGAAGGAGCAGGCGCGCTGCGGCATTGCAGGGGGGGGAGGAGGGGGGCCGGGGGGAGGGGGGGGGAGACAA